CAACAGAATTTTACTTTCAATGTCCTGACAATAAGATATAATTGACAACCTAGAATTCTACGTTCAGAGGAATACTCTTCTCAAGCAGAGTAAGATACAGTTTCAGACAAGAAAACTTATGAGTATGACATCAGCATATGCTCATTACAGAAAATTCAAAAGGGTGTACTTTATATACACGGAAAGTAAATCCAGACAGAACACCTGTGCTGTAAGAATGAATGAACAATGAAATGGAAGGTGGGATTTCTTAACACTGCAGAGTAAGTAGCTCAGAAAACTCCCCCCCACAAAAAAATAATAATGAAACTGAACAACACTATTAACAACATTCTCAAGGCTCTGGAAATCAACCAAAGGCATGTATGTATCAGCCGGGGATGGTGACACACACCTTGCAAATATAGCTAGTCAGAAGGCTGAGGCAGGAAGATCTCAAGCTTAAGGCCAGCCACCACAACTTTGTGAGAACCTTTCTCAAAGTAAAAGTTAAAAGGCTGGGTATACAGCTCAGTGGTAAAGCACCACTAGTTTTGATCCCCAGTACCACAAAAGCAAAAGCACAAGCCAATTTAAGGACCATAAAATCTATTAACTTCAGTTTAAGAACAAGAAAATGTATAGCATTCTTGTTTGGGGCTGCTTTTATCTCTAATCCCAGTTTGGTTTCAAAGCTGTTCTATTTGACAGAAGAGAACAAACTGGACTAGAGCATAGGAAAACTCTAGGCCCAGCAACTCCAGGGAGCTCAATGGCATATGAATAGGGAAGCTGAGGACACAGTTCTGGCTGAGATAAGCAACAGACTGGCAAATTAGCCACAAATTTAATAGGAAGGTCTGACAAATGAGAGACCAGTAGGGAGCCCTGATAAGCAATTTAGCCATCCACAAAGAGTTCAGAGGGTCCAAACAACCCTCATATCCCTGACTAGCCATGAGCAGACAAGCAAGCCCAGAAGAGACTTGGGAAGGCCAGGCATGGTGGCACACACCTATAATCCCAGCACTCAGGAGGCTGAGGTAAGAGGATCACCATGAGCTTGACAACAACCTGAACTACACAGTGAGACCCTGTCTTTAAGGAAAAAAAATTTAAAAAGATATTTGAGAAAGTTCAGCAGAAAGCAAAAACTGTGGAAGACTTAACAACTGCCTCAATTTGAGGAATGTGAACAAAGTCTGACCAATCACTGGACAACCACTAAACTATGTGGACTCAGGAGTAATTACTAGAAATATGGACAGATAGGAATAGTAGCAATCAACTGGATAGAACCACTGGCTTGAACAATGGCAATAAGAATCATTTCACTTGAGACTTTCTGTAAGTGAAGAGAACCAAGAAGCAATGAAGTAAAGCACTAAAATTAACCTACATTGTAAATGACATAATCCCCTTTGTCTCAGAATCTTCAGTTATAACTTAAACAACTATCACTCAGTTTAATGAAATTTAAATATAACAGTAATAACAATTACAAAAATAGCTAAAATCTTAACATTTATGATTGATAAGTACTATATAAAGTGAGGTAACACATGAAAAGGAAATATAAAAATGCCTCTTCTAGTACAAAGAAGCAGCTAATAGGTAGAATTACATTAGCCCTGTTGATCCAACAGTAAGACAACTTGTTAACCTCAATAGTTAAAAAAGACAAAACACCGCATTTCATCATATCCAAGAAACCAGCAACTGTAAATTGTATTTTTTCTGTATGATTAAAAAAAAACTAGTTTTAAAATCCATCTAGAGTTCAGAGATGCTAAATGGTGAAAAACTGCATCCTAGAAACAATGAAACACAGAAGCGAAAGGTCTTGTCCAAGGTAGCCTTATGAAAACAGTACCAGACCTTGAACCTGGGTCTCTAGAGTTTGTCTGTTCTTTTTTCATGTTTGTTTTTTGTTTTCTCCCCACAATGTCACAGATATAAAAATTTAGAACAAAAGAGACCTTAAGAGATTATCAACAGTTTATTTTAGATACCACAGCTAGACAGCAGCAGGAAGAGAGAACTCTAGCCTCTACCTCTCTTCCTGTTCATTGAAAGGAAGTGGGGTGACTTCATAGAACTCCAACTTGCTCTTACTGCTCCACTACACACTACAACTGACTTGGGACACAAACACATGACTGAACAAATAGTGCTAGAACATCACTACAAGAACAAAGCATGCATCACAGATTAGCCATGAAGGACCTGGCTAATGTTCACCAGTTCACTGGGCTTACCATCTACACTTGAGAAACTTGAGGCCAGGAGTTCAGGACCAAGCTGACTACGTCTGAAGCTTAAAGATATGCCACCTGCTCAGCTCAGTCTGAGTGCCCTTCACCACCCCAACCTTATGGAGTAACAGGTTTTGTGTTAGTGAAAGGGCATGCACAGCTTTCATTACTCTTCCACTACTTTTTCTTTTTCGGTGATGCTGGGGATTGAACCCAGGGCCACACCCAAGGTAGTCTATCTACACTGAGCCACATCCCCAACTCCCTTTTTTATAGTAGGTACATCAACAGTAAAAATGAAGAAAATGGGTCCAGGGATTTAGCTCAGTGGTTCTGCCACCTATCTAGCAAGCACAAAGTCCCAAGTTCGATCCCTGGTACAAAAAAAAAAAAAAAAGAAAGAAAAGAAAAAGAAGAAAATGGTTTGTATTTTTTATTTATAAAGCATGATTCATATTATGCAAGAAGATAAATCACATTTCCAAAGGAATCTTAAGCTATGTTTTCTGGTCTTGAGCTTAACTTTTAATATGTTTGACCCCAAACTAACAGATCTTCTTTCAGTAGATTGCCAGGGACAGGATTTTTCTTTTCTGTTTATTCAGGAAATATCTGAGTACTGACTGTGTCTTCAGGCTACTATATTATCTAGTTGAGAAGACAATGGAAAAATGACCCAGCCTCACAGAGGGTCTGGCAGTGGAGTGAAGTTATGGAAGGCTTCTCTGAGGAAGAAATGCTTGAACTGAAACCTGGTGGTCAGAGAAGTGTTACCAGGAAACGAATGACTGGGGGTAGAGACAAGGAAGGGCTCTAGCCAGAAGCCTCAACTTCCTCCTTTCAAAACTCGAATTGGACTGACAAGTTTAAAGGTTCCTTTTAGTACCAACGTTTATTTAGAGTATGTAAACTAGCAGACACCCTTGTTTTGTCATTTATTTAATTTTTGAGATATTTTAATTTTACTGGTTATAAGAATTGTACACAGTTTGATGGGATGTCACTTTATTGCAGGCAGCTTCTTTATCTGTTCTGTAGTACATGTTAAATGAAGTACAATGTTTGGCTTGTACCTCAATATGTGGTCAGTTACCCACAGCTGATTGTTGTAACTTTGTTAGAATGCCTAGTAAATCACCATGATTTTGACTATCTTTCTCTCTTCAAAGGCAGAGATTTCTACAAGTGTACTTAGTCTCTACAGTACCCAGCACTCTGTTACTAAAAGTCCAGTGTGCCAAGCACCATACTACCTGTATGACTATGTTTTTACTTAATCTTTATACTACGCAAGACTCCTGTGAAGTAGACATCATTATCCCAATTTTTCAGAGGAGAAACTGATGCTTAGGAAACACTAAGTAACTTGCCTAACATCATACAGTTGGCTATATCTGCAGAAGGAAGACAAGTCTATATGTAACTCTGAAGACATGAAAGCATTAGGTAACCTGTATAGGAAGGAGTTGCTGCTTCCTGCCTCAGACAGTGCCTGAAGAGGGAGTCTGGTATAATAATGATGCTACAATAACCCTAAGTCCTTGAGAAAAGGTTGAATAAGTTTCCCTTATGTAAGAAAAGGGAGAGGAGGGCTGGGGATTTAGCTCAGAAGTTCTGCCACCTGCCTCACAAGCACAAGGTCCCAAGTTCAATCCCCGGTACCAAAAAAACCAAACAAACAAAAGAGAAAAGGGAGAGGAAGGAGACCAAAGCAAAAATGATACTGATATGAAAAATTCAAATAACATTTCACTCTACTGGAATTCAACAGGCCACCAACTCCACATATCTTTAAACAGTCAAGAACAGAACTCATGAAAAAAGGGTTTCTGAACTATGAAGTTAGATCAAATATATTTTATAAACTTAAAAAAATAAAGTCTCAAATCCTTGCACAGTATTTGTTTATTCATAAATGGAATTAACTGGCATGAATTTTCCAGAATAAGCAAATCATAAAAAAAGAACATCTGAATAGCCAATACACACATGAAAAGGTGCTCAACTAGTCTCTGATCAAGCCATGAAGTCGCAATACAATCCAATGATCAATTTGAATGACTAGTTTAAAAGACATATAATACCAAGCTTGGGGAAGATATATAGCAACACAAATACTTTGGAAACTCTGGCAATATCTACCAAAGTTGAACATACCTTACAGTCTAGCACGTAATTCCTCTCCTAAATACATACCACAGAGAAATACACACATATGTTCACCAAAGGATACGTTCCTTAAAATTTATAAACTGCTGGCCGGGGATTTAACTCAGCGGTTCAGGGGCCTACCTTGCAAGCACAAGGACCCGAGTTCAATCCCCAGTACCAAAAAAAAAAATTTATAAACTGCTATATGCCATAGAAAGAGTATATAACATTTAAAGGTTCAAAACAGGTAAGTCTATGGTAAAAAGTCAGGAGAGTAGTTCTCTGTGAAGAGGCAAATGACTGGAAGAACACGGAGTGACACTAATCTGGTCCTTTTGAAAGGCTTCTGGCTCCTATTCGTGCACTTTATTAGATGTAGGCAATATCTTGGTAAAAGGTAATGAAGGCGAAGCAGCTGCAGCACCAGACTAAGGAGGCCAGGGCCAAGACAGAGGCAGCTGGGTGGGCACTCTGGCCGGGATCACCACCATCGAGGAGGTGAAATGCAAGATCCAGGTTCTTCAGCAGCAAGCAGATGGTGCAGAGGAGAAGGCCGAACGCCTGCAGCGGGAGCTGGAGGGAGAAAGGTGGGCTCGGGAACTGGCTGAGGCAGAGCTGGCCTCCTTGAACGGTAGGATCTAGCGGGTTGAAGAAGAGCTGGACCGTGCACAGGAGTGCCTGGCCACTGCCCTGCAAAAGCTGGAGGAAGCTGAGAAAGCTGCCAATGAGAGTGAGAGAGGTATGAAGGTTATTGAAAACCAGGCCCTAAAAGATGAAGAAAAGATGGAACTCCACGAAATCCAACTCAAAGAAGTGAAACATACTGCAGAAGAGGCAGATAGAAACTATGAAGAGGTGGCTCATAAGTTGGTGATTATTGAAGAATTGGCACGCACAGAGGAACGAGCTGAGCTGGCAGACTCCCGTTACCAGGAGATGGATGAGCAGATCAGACTAAGGGACCAGAATCTGAAGTGTCTGAGTGCTGCCAAAGAAAAGTACTCCCAGAAAGAAGACAAATATGAGGAAGAAATAAAGATTCTTACTGATAAACTCAAGAAGGCGGAGACTCGTGCTGAGTTTGCTGAGAGATCGGTAGCCAAACTGGAAAAGACAATGGATGACTTGGAAGATAAGCTGAAATGCACCAAAGAGGAGCACCTCTGTACACAAAGGATGCTGGACCAGACTCTGCTTGGCCTGAATGAGACGGAGAGCTCCCCAGTCCTGCCCTGCGGGGCGCTGCTCCTTCCTCTGACCCCGACACCACCTGAGGCCCACCTGCCTGAGGCTGACCTTGACCTGAGGGCTGACCCTTAACTGGAAGGCTGCTTTCTCCTTTCTACATTCTCTCTCCCTACCCTACCTTACCCAAGCCCCTTGTCTTTTTCATCAAACTGACTCTGCCTCTTCTCAGAGATTCTGGCTGGGCTAGAGGCTGAGCACCTTTGGGAACAACATCTAAGGGAATGTGAGCACAGTGCGAAGTGTCTTTAAAAGCATGTTATCATGTACACATTTGTAATACCTTTTTTGTTGTAGCAACCATTTGTAAAACATTCCCAATAATTCCACAGCTCCACAGCAGCAATCTTAATTCCTTTGTCACTTTGGAAGGCAACTTTTCAGCCAAATGCACAGTACCCTCTCCACAGAGCAGGAAAAGTATGGGCATCTGCCTCACCAGGAGCCAAACAGAGCCCACGGAAAGACACCATCGTAGGAAACCTCACTGCTCTGCACCAAATACTAGCCAAACCAGGAAGGTGATCCGAGGAGGAGTTAGCCAAAAACAAAATCCGTGCTGCTAAGGTTTTGAGCTTTCAGGTATCTTTGGACAACTATTTTTGTTACTTTTTTCATCAGAAGTGAGCAAATTAAGATGGTGAGACCTCTGAGACTTTTTTTTTTTTTCTTTTTGTGATGCAGGGGATTGAACCCAGGGAAGGCTTCATGCATGTTAGGCAAGGAGCTCTTCCATTGAGCCCCTCCCCAGCCCCAAGACCAGATTTTTGTCCCTTTCTACCCGCTTCCCAGCTGCTCACTGTATGGGTCATGTATGTGTCCCTCCCTTAACGGTGAGGTGACCAATTAATTGTTTTCTGCCTCCTTGAAAGAAAAATTATGTTTTTGCCACTGATTCAGCCATAGAACATTCATCTCACCCTTTGCTGGGTCTGAAGCTGCCATCTCTGAAAGTGCCATCTCATTGTGCTTTGTATCAGTCAGTGCTGGAGAAATCTTGAATAGCTTATGTACAAAACTTTTTAAATTTTATATTATTTTGAAATTTTGCTTCTTTAAGGTTGGCATGCATGGCTACTCCATCTGGCTGCGAAAGCTCGCTAGAGTCTGTGGGCTGGCAGTGCGCTGATCTTTTGAAGTTTTTTCCACAACCAGCCCCCACTTTTAGGAGAGGTTTCTGTGAGGTCTGTTGGGTATACATGCTGCTGCTTATTGGCTTAAAATGTATACTCCTTTGTTGTGGTCTCTCTTTGGGGCCAGTCAGGAGAAAGAAGGACCAGTAGCGCAACTGTTTTGATACTGAATACTACTGCCAAGTGTCTTTTTGAAATAAAGAACCAGTCCCTCTTTAAAAAAAAAAAAGGTAATGAATCTTGTTTTTAAAGATTTCAACAGTGAAAACAATAAATTCCCACAGAGCAAAATCAAATGAAGTCTTAGAGTTGGAGGACCTTCCCAGACCTATACCTGAAAAGGTAGCCAGCCATTTACCCATCTTTGTGTAAGATCATCTCTCATAAGAGAACATGTGCTCTTATTATCACTATCCATGTGATAAAGCACCATGAAATGTCCGTTCCTTTCCAAAGCGGGGGGGGGGACTTATGGTAAATGTATCTGAAGGACCATGTTGTACAGTGGGAAGATGCTTCTTGAGGGGTGTTGTATTAAATATTCTTAACTATTTCATTCTAAAATAAATCCAAAAAGCCTTTGGAAGAGAAAATAATCTTTTAAAGTTACTTCATATGGTTGAAGAGATGACCTGAGTTACCTTTCTAAGCCAATATAATACTAATTGATCTTTCTTGTCACAATGACTTCATTTTATACTTTAACAAAATAGTTGCCAGAGAATGGGTAATAATTGCTAAGTTTGTATAAACAGATACAGGCAGACAGAGCCTGCCACATATTGAAAGACTTTATTCCTAATTATTTTTACTGTACAGATCCAAATTAATTTTGTTTATATTCTAGATGGAACAAATTATTGAAGTACCAACATCTAGGGACCTAGCCCACATTCACTGAAAGTACAGCAGCAGAATCAGAATATTTATAGCTCTGAAAAATTCACTGCCTACCATCCATAAGAAGACCTAAAATTATTATTTATTACTACTATTACTATAAATTGCTCAATAATAAGTATTTATAAAAGTTATTACAAGCACAAGGCCCTGAGTTCAATCCCAGGTACCAAAACAAACAAACCTAGTAATTCATAAAAGTATTTGTATTGTTCAGTCAGTTTTCTCCCCAAAGATTTAAAAACAACTTAGTCATAATTCTCATGTAAGTTTATATTTCTGATAAATTATGCCACATGCTTTCCCTAAAATTTCACCCTCACACTTATTCAATTATAAGGCTGACCTCTATTAGACCTTTAGTCAACATTTAATCATTGAGGAAAGTGGGATATAAGGGAGGCAGTGACTAGAACAGACCTCTTGAACATGATTTATCTGTTACTAGCTAAGTGACTAAGATCATAAATCCCAGCCTGTTTCCTTAACTATCAAATAGAACTCTTACCTTAAAGCGCTGTCCTCATGACGAGAAATAATGCATATGACAATCTAACAAGCTACTAAATTAGATAGAAACTTAAGAATTGATATATTTTATTTATTAAATAAGCATATTTATACAGAGAAATTTCAAAACATAAATTAGCTACCGCCATTCTTATTCCTACCTGAGATTTTTAACATTCTAACAAAAGTAAAAATCTTCCTTTTGGATTTATTATACAATTTTTTCTACTTTTGCATATATACAAAAATCAATTTTGGAAGAACTACCTAGTCACCTCCATTGTTATTCCTTCAAACATATTAGTTACTACTAGCAGAAGCACAGGTAATCAAAACTGAGCTACATATTCACCATTAATTTTTATCTGCCAAACACATCTAAGAAGAAACCACAACTCTGACATATAACCTGGAGATACATCTCTAACATGCCAAATGTGAATTATTCTAGTTACTCAATGCAACAGACACTTACTGTACTTCTCTTAGTACAGTACACTAAGGACTACAAAATAGAAAAAATGAGTAAGCTGGGTGTCCTTGACCACCAGATGTTTCCAATGTTGCCTTGCCCATAACTAAATGCACCCTTCCAAAATCTCATTCTAATGCTATCCAGCCCTTGGCTATAATCTCTTGTGTCTCTGGGTCATGTCTTCTGCTCACCTGATCCTCTGTCTCTGTCTTACTTGTTTAGCAAAACCTCAAACAACCACTCCTCACTCCACTCAAATTTCTTAGACATTTACTGAAAAACTTCATGTAAAGTCCTATTTTTTATATTTTCCTATTTCTTGGCCTGCAGTAGTCTTCCCCCAAATAGATAACAGATTACTCCTTCAGTTTTTTAGGCATCTGCTCAATGCTTTCTTCTATGTAACTCACAGGAAATCAGTAACCACTCCTGCCAGACACTCCTTTATTCTGATTTACTTTGCTCCACTGTATTTATTACCATCTAACATATGTCCATGTACCATTAATCCTAACCTGTACTTTTCTTCATACCGTAAGATGAATTATGATTTTAAAAACAGTAAAATCGGTAAGGTCCTACTATCTTTAACCACCAGGTGGCAATCTTCAGGAGTCATTGCACCTATGTACATTCCCTCAAAAAAGCTGTACTTGCTAGAATTCTTAAATTAGGCACAATGTTGGCACTACATGTGTGAGTTAAATTACCACTTAAAATATCATTTGGTTTCAACTGAAACAAAAAAAACTTGTATATGATCTCATCAATGATTTAAATTCAAAAAATTAAAATCAAATGTTCACAATAAAGTCAAATAACCAAAATCCTTATACTGGTATTGAAAGTATAAATGAAACAATAATTTTAGAAAACTGTTTGGTAGCTTTAGTTATTCATAAGCATAGTCTCAGCAATTCCACTCTTAGGTACATACCCAACAAAATTGCATACTTACTTATATTTACCAAAAGATATATAGGAATGTTTACAGCAGCATTACTTATATTAGCTCAAAACTACAAACTAAGAAAATGTCCTGGATCATCTATCTGTTATATTCACACAGTGGAATACTATACAAACAAGCCACAAATATGCCACATAATATGAATAAATCTTACTTAACAATACTGTGACATATGCACACCTATATTTAAAGCAGCACAGTTTGTAATAGCTAAAATTGGAAACAGCCCATTTGCCCATCAGTTGGAAACTGAATAAAGAAGATGTGGTTTTTCTATAAAATGGAATACTACTCAGCCATAAAGAATGAGAAATTAGAGTCATTCATAGGAAAATGGATACATTTTGAGGATATATTCCTAAGTGAAATAAATAAGACACATGTGTAAATACCGAATAGTTTTCTCTGGTGTGAAAAACTATAACAGTACTCAAGATCTTAATGGTATAATTAACAATGTGAAATAGGAAGAAAAGGGCTAAAGGTATAGGGAAAGCGGAAAGGGTAGGGGAAGGAGAATAAGGGAAAAGAAAAAATATGAGAAAATGAAAAAATGGAATCAAAGTGTTTGTAAATGGGGAGGGGAGGAGAGGGTGAAGGAAGGGTAGGGACAAGGGGAAAAAATGAGAACCAAGACCTGTCATGTAAAGGTACAAGATCCAAGTAATGATAATGTAACTGTACTGTATACTTAGATTGCACCAATAAACTCAATTAAAAAAAAAAAACAAAAAACAATACTGGGTTGAGACCTGGAAGCCAGACACCAAAGAATGCAAACTATTATGATTTAATATATATATTAAGCACAAAAACAGATAAAATTAATGTACATTGTTAAAAATCAAGAGAGCAACAATAAGTGAAAGGGGGGCCCTGGGGTACTGAAAATACTGTATTTCTTGATCTAGATGCTGGTTATTCAGTTGTATTCAATTTAGAAATTTTCATCAAGCTAAATAACTGTGATCTATACACTTCTGTATATATGTCAACTTTCAATTAAAAAATTAGAGCTGGGCATGGTGGTGTGTGCCTGTATTCCCAGCACTTAAGAGCTGAGGCAAGAGGATCACCACAACTTCGAGGCCTGCCAAGGCTACATAGTGAGTTCAAGGCCAGCATGGAGCACATAGTGAGA